GAAATCCTCAGGTATTCCCACAGGGAAAAGCCACGCAGTAAATTCAATTCTAAGGCAGGGTAATGCAACATAAAAATAAAATTATTACAAAAGAAAAAACATAAAATTGTGGTTTAGGCCTGCCACCTCAGCTAAGTGCAGTCAGTTAATTCCCATAAGAAAGAATCTCAAGAATGAGTTTGCATAACAGGCAATTCTTGCCAAGAAAAATAAGCTACACCTGTCATAACAAATAATAATAAACAATAACTATGGCCCATAAGAATCCACCAAAATAGCGTAAACATCTATTAAAAAGCCTTGCACGTGCACCTTGTAACCAACGGGACAAGCAGCAAAAAAATTACAGCCAATTCCAGTCAAAACCAAAGTCTTTGAAAGCTATATCAGATTTAGGAATGAATAATGAATGAATAATTAGATTTTTCCACATTAAAAACCTGAGTCCTGTCTGCTTTAAACCCCAGCAGGTCCCAAATCCTCATCCCAACTTTGGGGCTCTGCAGGACACCCTAAAGAGTCCCCACAGCCTGGACGCCACGAGCAGATTTGGGTATAAAAATGGGCATTTTTGGTCCTTGGCACACCCAAAATCCCCATTTCCTTCCCCCTGCAGCCCAAAGCCAATCCCACTCAGTCTTTGTTTCCCACTCAATATTTCCCAGTTAATACATTTTTGCCCAATTAACAGATTTTTCCCCACTCAGGAATTGTTATTTTTTTTCCCACTTATTTCCCACTCAATATTTGTTTCACAATTATTATTTCCCCATTAATAATTTTCTCCCAATTAATATCTCTCACTCAATATTTGTTTCACAGTTATTATTCCCCAGTTAATAATTTTCTCCCAGTTAATATCTCCCACTCAGTATTTGCATCACAGTTAATATTTGTTTCCCAGTTAATATTTCCCACTCAATATTCTCCTTCCCAGTCATTATTTCCCACTCATTATTTGTTTCCCACTCAATATTTTCTTTCCCAGTTAATATTTCCCACTCAATATTTGTTTCCCAGCCAATATTTCCCAGTTAATATATTTTTCTCCTGTCAGTATTTATTATTTGTTTCCCAGTTATTATTACCCAATCCATATTTGTTTCCCAGTTAATAATTTAATATTTGTTTCCCAGTNAACAAATCCAAATGGAATAAAAGGAAAAACCTCGGAGATCCTGCTGCCCATGAAACACCCGAGCAGGGCTGCAGGAGGGGACTCCCTGGTGCCTGTCCCTTGCTGTCCCCAGGACATGGTGCCACAGCACTTGGGGACATCCGCCCCAAAGCCCTCTGAGATCATCAAACCCAACCATTCTCGGCATTGCCAAGGCCACCTCATGTCCCCAAGTGCCACATCCGATTCTCCAGCCCCTTCCCAGCTCCCTCAGCCCCTCCTGGGGCTCCAGCCCGGGCTCAGCCCTCACACACAGCACCTCCCACCAGCTGTGGGAGGAATCCAGATGTTTTCTGGGAAGCAAAATCCCTGTGCTGCACCTTCCCCAGCCACCACACCCTGCACAAACATCTGTGTAAATCCAATTTCCACCTCTAACCAGCTCTAAAGGGCAGAGAGGAATCTGCTCCCACTCCAAGTCCTCCTTTTCCACCGCTCCCCAAAAATCCCCCACACACAGAGCTCCCAGGAAATCCCAGATTTGCTGCACATGCAGGGAACAGCTGGAATGCGTCTGCTGATAAAACTCCACCCAAGGATGGCAACAACAAATCTGGAATGCCCCAAATCCCTGCTGAGAGCCCATGGAAGGCTCCTGAGCCCCAATAACTCACGTGGAGTCAGTGTCCTTCTCTTTCCTGCGTATGCCAAAGGCCTTCCTGGTGCGCTTCTTCAGTCCTGGGGAGCAACAGGGAAAAGGAATTATTAATCTAACCACAATAAATCCTCCCAGGGCTCCTCAGTGCCTCCCTGGCTGCAGCCCATAAATGGGGTGAGAAAAGGGAAGAGCCAGAACCGGGGGATCAGGGAGTCTCAGAACTGAGGGGCTGCCAGGAGCTTGGGGGGACATTTCTTTCTGCCATTTATTTGTTCATTTGACACTGATTAACTCCTTCCCAGTGTGTGGGACTGTTATTTCCCACTTAATATTCCACACTCAATATTGCACAGTTATTATTTCCCACTCCATATCTGTTTCACAGTTCGTATTTCCCAGTTAATGGTTTCACAGTTAATATTTCCCAGTTGATAAATATTACAGTTATTATTTCCCACTCCATATCTGTTTCACAGTTAATATCTCCCAGTTAATATTTATTACAGTTATTATTTCCCACTCCATATNCTCAGCACCAACATTAGGGCAGGATTTCCCCCAAATCCACGTTTTTAAGGGGTAAAACCCCGCCCTGGGGAGGTCCAAGGTGAGCAGCCCTGACCTCGCCTGGAATTTTCTCTCCTGCAATCCCTGGAACAGGAACGAGGTGGGTGAATCACACAGGAAATTCCTGCTTTGCCAGGAAATCCCAAATTCCTGCGTTTGGGCACCAGCTCCAGATGCCCAAGGGCACATTTTAAACTGGGCTCACCCCAAAGAGGAGTTTTGCTTTTTTTTTTTTTAGGTTTTGCCTTATTATTTTGGGTTTTGCCACTTTTTTCCCCCCAGGTTTTCCCATATTATTTTTCTTTTAGGTTTTGCCACGTTTCTTTTCCCAGGTTTTGCCTCCTTTTTTTGTTGTTGTGTTGTTTTGGGGGTTTTTGTTTGTTTTGAACCCAAACCCAAGAGCTCCAGAGATTTTTCCCCACTTCTCTTCCAAGCTTTTCACTTCCAAGGCCTCATTCCTACAAAATTCCTCCCTGCCAGCTCAAACCCACCTGGATCAGCCCCCCAAAAAATCCCAAAATTCTCCACGGACATCTCTGGCCTTGAGCATGGTGGATTTCTGATCAAACTCCAGAAAATCCCAACACTCCTGACTCCGTGTTCTGGGAATTTTCTGGGATGGTTTCCCATCCATGCCTGAATTTGTGATATTTTCATCAAACCTGCTGGTGGCTTCCTCAAATTCAACCCCCAAATTTGCCTCCTTAAATCCAAAACCCTCCAGTTTTGCCTCCTCAAATCCAAAACCTCCCCAAATTTCCTTCCTCAAACCCAAAACTCTCAATTTTGCCTCCTCAAACCCAAATTTTCCCAAATAATTTCCTTGTTGGGTCCTGCAGACAACCCTGACTGCATTCAAACAAAATTTACTGAAACCAGATCATCCAAAAATAAAGACAATTTTCAACCAAGAAAAAAGGATTTTTGGGATGTGCCATTGATGCCTCCGGGCCCAGCAATCCAAGAATGGAGACCACCAGGGCTAAAAGATGATTCCAGAAGGATTTTCCCAGTTTGGATGTGACCAGAGGATCCCAGACTGGTTTGGGTTGGGAGGGACCTTAAATCCCATCTCACTGACAGAACATTCCCATGGAAATTCCCCGATGACCAAACTCTCCAGGTTCTAAGAAATTCCCACTCTGGGGTCTGGGGGAGCGCAGGGAGCACCCAGGGAAAGCAGGGATGAGCTTCTCCAAAGGAACCACATCTGCTCCCATCTCCCCAACATCCGAGCTCCTCCTTGAACGGCCATTCCCAAATTCCCAAAGCCTCCCCAGGCCCTGGAGATGCAGCAGAGCATTCCCAAGGAGTCAAACCTGCTCCGTGCCCAGATGTTCACCTCTGCACAGGGAGCTTCTGAGCGTTCCTCAAGCCCAGAGAACGTCCAAATTCTGCTCATTCCTCAATCCCAGGAAACCTCCAAACCCTGCTCATTCCTCAATCCCAGAGAACATTCCANCGCACAAAGGGCGAGCGCTCAATGGCTGGCACAGCAAACAGGGCCCCGCTTGTGCTCCGGCCCCAAAAATCCACCTGCACAACCTCCAGGCACTCCCAAACATCAGGGGAAAAAGGAAAAAAAAAAAGAGAAAAATCCCATGTGTGGGATGGTATTAAAGAAATGAGTGAAAAAAATCAGCTGGCAGGGGAAATGGGAAAAGGATATGAGAAAATATATATATATATATATATATATATATATATATATATATATATATACATATATGGGAAAATATTGCATATATATATATATGGGAAAATATTGCATATATATATATATATGGGAAAATATTGCATATATATATGGGAAAATCTAGCACATATACATATATATATATTTGGGAAATCTTGTAAATATATATATATATGGGAAATTTGTGTATATATATGGGAAATTTGTGTATATATATGGGAAATTTGTGTATATATATGGGAAATTTGTTTATATATATGTGAAATTTTATAGATATATATGGAGAAATTTTTATAGATATATATATGGGAATTTTTTATATATAGATAGGGGAAAATTTCATATATATATGGGATGAATATATATATATGGGAATTTTTATATATATATGGGAAATCTTATATATATATGGGAATTTTTTATATATATATGGGAAATTTTATATAAATATGTATGGGAGAATTTTTATACATATACGGGAAAATTTTTATATATATATGGGAATTTTTTATATATATATAGGGGACAATTTCATATATATATGGGATGAATTTATATATATATGGGAAATTTTATATATATATATGGGGAATTTTTTTAATATATATATGGGAAATTTTTAATATATATATGGGAAATTTTTAATATATATATGGGAAATTTAATATATATATATGGTAATTTTTTTGTATATATATGGGAATTTTATATATATATATAGGAATTTTTTTAAATATATATGGGAAATTTTTTATATATATACGGGAATTTTTTTATATATATGTATGGGAATTTTTTTACATATATGTATGGGAATTTTTTTATATACATGGGAAAGTTTTTATATATATGGGAAAATTTGTATATATATATATAGGAAATTTTTGTATATATATATGGGATTTTTTTTATATGTATATGGGAAATTTTATATATATATATATGGGAATTTTTTATATATATGTATGGGAATTTATATATATATGTATGGGAATTTTTTTATATATATGTATGGGAAATTTTATATATATATGTATGGGAAAATCTGTATGTATATATAGGAAATTTTTGTATATATATACGGGAAATTTTTACATATATATATATATACGGGAAATTTTTACATATATATATATATATATGGGAAATTTTTACATATATATATATGGGAAATTTTTACATATATATATATGGGAATTTTTTTATATGGGAAAAGCACATATAGATATATATGGGAAAGAGGCAGAACTGGCAGTGCCTGCCGTGCCGAGCAGACGGATCCTTCCTGACAGCTCTGCCAACACTTCCAGGTCACTGCTCTGGGGCGGAGCTCTGCATTCCCCTCCTCCCCAGCTTCTCCTTCTTATTCCTCCTCTCCCATCCCAATCCTGCCACCAACTCTGCAGAAATCCCATTTTCCTTCATGCTCTCCTCTCCAAGCCCAATATTGGATTGGGATTCCTGCCACAAACTCTGGNCTCATCCCTCATGTGGTCGGATCTCCAGGGGTTTGATCCCCATCCCAACCCAGCTGAGTGAAGCCAAGCACAGCAAATCCATGGAATGTTCCTGCCCCTCCATGGAGGTGGAGGAATTTCCACTGCTGGAGACACCTTTGGTGTCCTCCAGCAAGGATTGGGGCCTGGAAATATCTCCCAAGCTTGAGCTTTTTGAGTGTTATTGGGATCACCCACGGAAAAAGAAACATTTTTGTCCCATCTCCCAGAAGAACGACAAAATAATTCCATGTATTGAGCACAACACCCATAGCCAACAAAAACTGCTCATCCTGCGCCATTCCCAAACAGGGAAATTCTCTTTTTCCCAAGGAAAAGGATCCAAAGAGAATCCATGAGCCAGGTCCATCCTGCTGGCCATGGGCGGCCTCAGGTTCTGCATCCACCCTCCACTCAGTGCCCACCACTCCATCCAGCAGGAAAAATTATTTAAATCGTTAATTGCAATGATAATTAAACCCCTTTAAAGTGCTCACTGCGAGGAACGCTTGGTGTTTTGCACAGATTTAAAAGTTTCAGCTCCATTTAAGCCAAGCTTGTTAAAGCCATTTAATTTATTGTATTAATATTAAATAAACCACCCCTGCAAGGGACCAGGGGGATCTTGGGTTGGAGTTCCCCTCTCCCACAAACCCAACCAATTTCCAACTATTTCAAAACTCAAAAAAATCCCCAGGAATTATTTCTAATTCTCCAACTTCTGTTCTAGGTTTGCATCCACCACTTGGGGAAGGTTTCAAGGTGTTTAATGATTCACTTTTTATGAGTAGTGTTTAATTTTCCCCCATGCACGGCTGGGTCATGGAAGGTGATTCCAGCCCTGCCAGAGCCCAACACCCCAGCCCTGGATCCATCCCCAGCGTGACCAAAGCTCCTGGCAGGCCAAAACCCTCAAGGAATAAAACCAAACCCCAAAAACCCCAAAACCAAAAACCCCGAATCCCAAAAGAGCCTCAAAACCCCAATTTACTTCCCCCAAGCAGCCTCAAAACGGAATAAATAACCCAAACCAAGGCCTACAACGAGGCAGCTCCAGTTTATCCACATTCATTCATCCATAAACCTTGGAATTTTGGGAGCAGGCAGGTTTTTAATGGCATTTTCCCTGCCATGACCTGCTCCTGTCGTGGGATGGGTTTGATGTCATGGGCTAAAATTAAAACCTCTTTTGCTTGTGACTCTCATCAGCACCAGGGCGAGCAGGGAAGGCTTTTCCTGGGATCTAAAGGACACCAAAACTCATTTCCCTCACACCAAACCCAGCAGAGGCTGCTCCATGTGCCCACACGGCCGTGACAATTCCCCAATTGCCCAGGCCAGGGGAGCATCCTAAACCCACAGAAATCCCGTGGATCCCGAGGCCTCTCCAGGGGAATTTGGGCAGGGGGCAGCCCCAGATTTGGGGGATGCTCCAGGAAGCAATTCCCCAATTTCTGCCTGTCATTCCAGGGAGCTCCCTGGGCTGGAAGAGGCTCCAGCAAGCCAGGCCCTGCTGCTGCCACCAACGGGCCAGAAATCCCCTAAAATCCAACAAATTCTGCTCTTGCTGGCCCTGGAGCATCCATTCTGCTAAAACACAATTAAACCCAAGGCGTCATTTCCCCGGATCCTGCTCCAGAAGGAATTAAAATGATAAATAATAAAGGAGAGCTTTACATACGGCCGAGACAGACGACAGAGGATGAAATTCCTGTCATGCCCAGAGGCTTTTCCCACACAGGATCAGACACAGCTCCCTGAAGCATCCTGAGCCTGCAGCCCATTTTTCCTCCTCACCCCCTTTTTTATGCCGAAATTCCCAATCCAGCCTCTCCTCCTTCCCCCGACCCGCATCTCCACGGCTCGGCAAGGAAAAACCCATCGGGAGCCGCGATTCCCTGGTTTCCCACAGAAACGATGCTCGTCCATCCAGGGAAAACACGGAATATCCCATCCCCGAGCAGCACAGCGGGGTAAAATCGGGATTTGGGGACGCGAATCCAGCCGGCTGTGCGCCGGAGGAAGCGGCGGAAAGCCGGGAGGGAATTCGCGCAGCCCGAGCTGCCTACACAGGGCTGGGGATGGAATTGCAAATAACCTGCCGGGCTCGATATTATATCACCGCCCGGCTGAGCCCGAGCGGCCGGGATTAGGGGGAGGGGAGGCTCTGATCGCGTTATTATTGTCATTATTGTCATTANCTGTGAGTGACACAGCTCAGGGGACAACCCCAGGATGGCATTTCCAGCAGCTCCTGAGTCCCTGGAGCAGGAAAATTCCCCATCCAAGGATCAGGAACTGAGCTGGGATTGGGATCTGCTCCTCCTGAATCCCTGGCATAG